ACACACACACACACACACACACACACATTAAATTAACTTATTAGACTTACATTTTATACTATTGGTCAAAAGTTTGGAATAATTACGATTTATTTTTATGTTTTTGAAAGAAGTTTCATCTGCTCACCAAGGCTGCATTTATTTGTTAAAATACAGTGATCTATTATTACAATCTAAAATAGCTGTTTTCTATGTGAATATATTTTAAAATATAATGTATTATAATACAATTAATTAAAATAAAATTTTTGTGGAATTGTGATACTGCCATTCAAAAGTTTGGGGTTAGATTAAAATAAATTAATACTCTTATTCATCAAGGATGCATTAAATTTATCAAAAGTGTTAGTAAAGACATTTCTAAGATTTCTATTTGAAATAAATGCTGTTCTCTTGAACTTTCTGTTCATCTGTGAATCCTGAAAAATAAAATGCATCACAGTTTCCACAAAAATATTGTGCAGCACGACTGTTTTCAACATTGATAATAATCAGAAATGTTTCTAATAATCAGCATATTATACTGATTTCTGAAGATCATGTGACACTGAAGACTGGAGTAATGATGCTGAAAATACAGCTGCACATCACAGAAATAAATTACAGTTTAACAGATATTCACATAGAAAACAGCTGTTTTACATTCTAATAATATTTCACAATTTTTATGTTTTTTTAACAAATAAATGCAGCCTTGGTGAGAAGAAGAGACTTATTTCAGAAACATTCAAAAATCTTAATTATTACAAACTTTTGAACAATAGTGTATTTACTATAAGTAGTGTTTTATTATTTATTAAATGTATATATTTTTTGCATATTTCATATTGTGTTTTCTGTATTTGTATTTATGGGAAAAGGAAAGCAATAAACTGAGTGATCTTATAATCAAACCTCCCATATGCTTCTATATATTTATTAAATATATTAGTGTATATATATATATATATATACACTTAACAGTGGGTATAGAAAAGAATCACTCCCTTTAAAATAATCACATTTTTCTTGCTTTGCAGCCTTAAATGAAGACGGACACAGTTTTAGTTTTATTCAGCTGTATTTACTCACTGCAACTTATAACATCCAAGTCAAAGATAAAACACCAACATGACAAAAAAAACAACAACAATAAAAACCAGAATCACTGAGTTGGTAAAAGGATCCAGGGAGGCTCTGTGTTTTACCAAACACCTTCCACTTCTTAATAACAGACTTCACTGTGCTTCTAGACATTGATAAAGCCTTTGAAATGTTTTTGTCTCCATCTCCCGACTTGTGTCTGTCCACAGCTTTATCCCGGACATCTTCTGACAGTGTCTTGCCACCCATAGCTGATTGTTTGCTTCAGTTGCTCTACCAAGGACTGAAATGCTGCAGTAAAAGCTCTTTTCATGCTGAGCTGATCAAAATGAGCTGATCACAGGTGAAAGTCAGATGGCTTTGTGTGTCATTGAGAAGGAGATGAGCTGCACCTGATTGAGTTTACAAGCCATTTTTAGGAGAGCTGATCCTTTTTGACCTGATCCAACTCAGTGATTCTGTTTTTATTTTTTGTCATGTTGGTGTTTTATCTTTCACTTGGATGTTATAAGTTGCACTGAGTAAATACAGCTGGATAAAACAAAAACTGTGTCTGTCTTCATTTCAGCAACAATATGTGATTATTTTAAAGGGGAGTGATTCTTTTCTATACCCACTGTATATATATAACATTCATTCATTCATTCATTCATTCATTCAAGCTGTTTGCAATGTCCTGAATATTTTTTGGTTTTGCTGTGCTTTGTTGGGTGACTCACGTGATCAGTGTTGGTGAGTGCCGGTGAGCTCTTGTTCTCTGTAAGCGCTTCAGCTGAACACTGCGACTCTTCACTGTGCAGCTGATCTGGAGACAGACTCTCACTGCTGCTGTCCTCCTCAAACGCGTACGAGTCCTCCTGCTGCGCCAGCTTCCCATGGTTCACTGCGGAGATATGAGAGGTGAGATACAGACTCAAACACAGTCAGATAAACTCACAGAGAAGATCAGTCCAACAGACAAACAACAAAAGACAAGTGTACAGAGAGCAGCGAACGTGAAGGAGACTGATTACCATCTCAACGCCAGCAGTGTTTGACAGAATTACAGCTTCTGAACCTTGAGTCTGTGTTAATATTTGACTGAAAGTCTGTTTGTGTCTGATGCCCATGTGTGTGCGTGTGTGTGCGCGTGCGTGCGAGCGTGTGTGTGTGTGCGTGAGAGAGAGTGTGTGTGTGTGTGTGTGTGTGTGTGTGAGAGAGAGAGTG